ATGTTCCAGCAAACAAAACAAAAAAATACATTTTGTAATATCAATTTAATACCTTCCATTATAAAATTCATTTGAATGGTCGTAAAACATTGGCATTGTTGTAAAAAATATTTATTTGAATATTGTTTGGCATCCCTATTCATGTGATATAATTGTATATAAACTTCAAATGTTACAGGTTACCAAATAAAAATCTTCTTGTCAGGAAACATCTTTTAAAATCTTTAAAAGCTGCATAAAGTCCCTCAAATATGTAGGTTGACTTGTGACAAGGGGTTGGAGTTGCCTATCTATATATTCTGATAGCCTACTTGGTTAAATATTTTGGGCCTCTATGAATTTTTTGGAATAACATAAAAAACTGGTAAGTACTCAAGTTAATGGATCCCTGGGCACCGTTTAGTAGAAATCCCCTTTTTTCAAGTTATTCTTTTTGTTTGCGTATCCCTTTTTATCCTTAGATTGATTAAAGGTAGGGCCCCCTTCCTCATTTTTTATAATAGTGGAGCTCCCCCGGTGTTAGTTTCCCCTTGTGGGATTCTATACATCACTTTCTCCTATTTCCTGCATATTTTAAAGGGTTATCCCCTTATTGGAGCTCCCTATTAGGTGGTTACAGTGGTGCAGCTCACGAGCCCTTGACTTGTATCTGGGCTCGGGACCTGCAATCTGTTCAGTTTATTTTTCTATTTTTATTTATTTTTGGGGGGGTTAATTATCTTTATTTTTCATGCATAAAGATAACATGGTAGTAGGCTATGCCACGACAGCTCTTGCCCACGATCAACAATCAAGGCAAAGATGGGCATCAGTGAACAATACACATTTTTTTAAAATGTACAATAGGGGAAACATATGTGGAGATCAGCTATTGTACCCTGAGTGGATGTGTTGGCAATGGAAGTTCCTGTGTAAGTATCAACCACATAGGGGATCACCACCAGCCTAGCTTGCGTGTGAGTGTGCATGGTAACGGGTTCATCCGTGATCCAGCATGGGAGGGGGGGAGGGAGGATTCGAGGAGGGTGCTCGAGTGTGCGTGGGCACTATAGGTGGCAGCTTAGCTTTGGTCACGTAGTGTGGAGGTTTCCTTTTGTTTTTAGGTAACTTGTGGTGCTTGCATGAGTAGTTGTCAGAGTATGTGTGAAAGTTCTATTAGCAGTCAGATGCGCTAGAGATTTGATGGTGCAAGAAGGAAATAAATTTAAAGGTGCAAATAACATAAACTGCGGCAATGAATTTAAGGAGAAAGTAAAATTAATATAGATTATAGCAGTCTCAAACTGTGCTGAGTAAGTTCATCTTGGATGGTGGAATGGAGTGTCCCCTTGAGCTGGGTGTCCTTGGTGCTTCAGGTGGGGTGTCCGGCAGGTGATGCTCTCTGGTGCTCTCTCGGGGTCAACTCCCGTATGTTAGCGGGGTTTAGCCTGGACAGTCCTGTGCCGTTCGTTGGTGGCGCTTGCAATATGCCCGCTGATGTCTGGAGGGATTCCAGTTCCACATAGCTTTGGGCTTTGTGGGTGTTCCCGCCGTGGGTGAAGGATACTACTCGCAGTGTGCCCCAGCGGTATGGAGTCTCTCTGGCATGGAGGTGGTGTAGGAGCGGTTGTAATGATTTCCGCCAGTTAAGGGTGCTCTTGGTGAGGTCTGGAAACATTTTTAGTTCTGCGTCCTCAAACTCCAAGGGAGTTTTACCCTTTAGTGCGGCCAGGAGTGAGGCTTTATCCGCTAGTGACTGGAATCGCAGTATGAGGGTTGCGGTTGCAGGGGCCTGGGCTGGCTTTGGCAGCCAAAACAACCCATCCAGTTTCAGAGGTTTCACCTGTTTGGTGGGAGCAGGACTCCGAGGAAATGCCTGACATAGTAGGGTAGTTCGGTGAGGTTGACCGATTCCAGTACCCCTCAAATTTTCACGTTGTATCGTCTCCTCTGGTCCTCTAGGGTGTCCAGCCAGTCTGTGTTAGCATTTTGCCTTTCCTCAAGGTCTGCCACTCCACCTGGGTTAGTCTGGAGTCTTGTGTACTCGAGCAGGCCTCCAGTTGGCTAATTCTGGCCATTGCTCCTTCTATGGCCTCTTTGTAGTAGGCCATGTCTGCCACCAGATCTTTGCGTAACTCTTCCAATGTTGTTTTAAGTTGGTCCGCAGTAACCAGGTCCCCGGTTTTCTTAGGTTCAGTACTGCGGTCCGGCATGGGTCTGAACGATGCTCCTTCTATGAGGTCCATGGCAAACTCCGCTGATGTGTACGAGGAGAAGTTGTCCGCCGGCGCCATTTTAGACCATGCAGCCTGTTGCATGTTCCGCAGCCCTGCCGTGGGAACATTTGTCCACTTTTACCTTCTTTGTTTTTCGATCCATATTCAACCTGTTGTCGGTAGTGTGGTTTGAGGGGATTTTGGGCTCAGATTCCACCTTAAAGGGGTTCGTTAGGGTCAGTTTGAGACGGAGCTCCCAGAGATCTTTATTTTTCCATTTTGTGTTATAAAAACCTGGTATTCAACATATCTGTATATTTAGATATTTGTATTTAGCTTTGTGTAAAATACCTTGAATTCTACCTTTCTCTAATAGTTGAAGATATTATTTTCTAATATTACTAGCAGGATCCCCATCCAGTTTGACATAGTTGCAGGCACCTCCAAATTGTCTATATATTTCCGTCATGTAATCCTCAATTTTTTTGTATAATAATGCCTTCGTCTGCTGGCTTGATAACAATATTTTGTCCTGTTGTAATTCTAAAATGGCCTTTGATTGTAAAAACTTTAGATTAGATTTCTATTTTTGTGATTGGTAGGCATTTTGTAACAGGTTCTATAAAAAAAAAAAAGCCCACAAAATTGCACACAGAAAAAAACCCACTGTCATAAATGTACACAAGAAAAAAGCCCAGACAGAAAAACGCCCATATGGAAATACGGAAATTCGGGACTTCGGCAACTCAGAACTTCGGGACTTCGGCACTTTGGTTCAGTTCGGCACTTCGGAACTTTGACAATTCATCGACTTCGGAACTTCGGCACTTCAGAATTTCGGAAAGTTTGCATTTCGGGACTTCGGCACTTCGGAATTTCGGTATTTCAGAACTTTGGTATTTCAGAATTTCGGGACTTCGGCATTTCAGGACTTCTTTTGGAGCTGCTTATTAGATAACTCCCTAATTCCCACGGTATTAGGGAGTTATCTACCAAAAGGCTGAAAGTCCTAAATGACTTAGTATTAGTCAATTTTGCCCATACTCGCTATACCACAGCCTGTGTCTGCTTACTGCAAAAAAAAAAAAACATGTCCCCCGTGTCGCACGACTGGGGAGCTTTTAAACTATTGCTACCCAGCCCCGACCCCTGAGTGGTGGGTGGGGGCCCTATATAGAAAAATGGGGGGACACCTATTGTCCTCCCCTGAACCCCATCCCTGAGCGGATGGAAATATCCATTAAAATGTAAGCTCACTTGCCAAATCAAGGCAAAACCTCTTGTAAGTTGAAATCCTAGACAGTTTAGTTATTTTAACAATCAGGGCTAATTAGTGAAATTTTATTGAGTTAGTTATTTTTAGTTCCACTTGGTGTGTAGAAATAATTAAATATTGTGTTTTGTGTACATATAGGGTATTAACAGAAATCACTGTTTTTCTTTTTAAAAACAATATATAACATGTATGGGTGTACGTAATGAGAAAAGATGAAATTGCAGCAGAATAAACACATTGGAAAAGTGCCAAAATGGCCTGAGACACACGTGTTACATCTCAAAAGAACCTTGGTCCTTAAAAGGATAATATGTTAAATGCGACATAAAAGCACTAAGAAAGGTTTTCATTATCTCTAAATTCAATATTGCTTTATAAACTGCCTTAAACAATTGACATCCTGTATTATGTATGAACCACATAGAAAGTGAATACAAAGATCTGAGGGGATCATTTGCAAACTGTATAAGTCAACTGTGAAAAGCTGATTCACTTAGTTATATAGGATGCCAAGCTCTTCTCAATGGTTACTCTATTATAATTACAGTGCAGAATAACATTTACATATTTAACAAAATAATAGATTATTGACAAAAGGTCCAATATCCCTTAGGATAACAATGTTAAATAATTCTTTGTTACAATTTAACTCCTTATGACTGAGACAATTGTGGAAGTTCTAATCTAAACAAAACCTAGAATTTGTGTTAAATGTCTGTTCAATCATAATTTACCTCTTTCAAATCAAGTGCACCCACACTTATTATATATCATTTTGTTCAGAAGAAACAGGGCTTTTGTTTCACATCAAATATTGATTTTACTGCAGTTATAGAACAGAATGAATATTAATCCACCATAACATATATCCCTTATCCCTGTAAACAAATCTCAATGCAGAATGAACATGTAATCATAATGCATTATATTTCTTACCTGTTCTGTGTCAAATTTAAAAATGTGTATTTTAATATTTTGTATTTATAAATATTGTATTGTACCCTAATTTAAGGATGGAATGTGTGTGGGCCAGGGACATAGAGAGATATCTTAATTTATTCTTCCTGGTAAAATATTATTTAAATAAATAAATCATACAAACTCCATTAGGATAAACATGTAAAATAGTTTAATTATTTGTTAGAATTCAATATATTACATAAGTAAAACGAAATGATTGTTTGCGTAGAGTGCTGATTTAGAAGTGATTGAAAGTTTTTTTTGTTTTTTTTTATAGACTTCCAGGAATGTTTAAGTGAAAAAAAGTAATATTCTACAATCAAATGAAAGAGAAAGGAAACTAGACAAGCAATTCCCATTGGTCCAACCTAAACTTGATATTTGTTTGTAGTTATTAGCCATAACATAACCAAAGTAATAAAAATGATAATTAAAATATAAAAGAAATGAAAATTAGTACAATATTCTGAACACTGAAAACAATAGTTACAATACCAATTAAATTATTACATATATTTTAAATGCAAAATGTTGTACAAAAATGTTGCCCTAATTTAGTATTGTTCTACTTGAGAAATTTCCTCATTGCTTTCTTAATGTCTTTGTTCCTAAGACAATAAATAATAGGATTAAAAATTGGAGTTCCCATAGTAAATAAGAGCGATATAGCCTTATTGGCATTGAATGAAGAATTAATAGAAGGAGTCATGTAAATTGCTATAAGAATCCCATAGTATATACTCACTACGATCAAGTGAGAGCTGCAGGTGTAGAAAGATTTCAGTTTTCCACTGCTGGTGGAAATTCTGGAGATAGTTATGAAAATAGAGATATATGTGTAAAAGATGAAAGACAAAGGGAGAATCATTAACGGTATTGATAATACAATATTTGTCATTTTTACAATGGTAGAATCTGAACAGGACAATTGCAGAAGAGGAACAAAATCACAGAAATAATGGTCAATTACGTGGCCACAGAAGACTAGTTGATGTATTAAAAAAGCAATGAGCAGTGACACTGAAAATGATAAAATCCAAGACCAAACAGCCAATTGGAGGCAAAGCGAGCTATCCATGATGGATGTGTAATGTAATGGTTTGCATATAGCGAGATATCGGTCGTAGGACATCACCGTAAGGAAAAGACACTCTGCGGCAGATGATAGACAGTGAAAATGAAACTGAGTGATGCAGCCAGTTAGAGATATTGTGCTTTCTACATGTAAAATAACATGGAGCATATTAGGAGTTATATTGGTAGTGACCAAGATATCGGATGCAGATAAGTGACTAAGGAAGAAATACATAGGAGATTTCAGAATCGGGACTGTTGCCACGAGCGAAATGATCAGAACATTTAATGCTACTGTCAAAAAGTAGATTAAAATGAACAAAATAAATAGTATAGTGTTTAAAATGGGGGGGTTCTTAAATCCCAGAAGGAAGAATTCTGTCACCATTGTTTGGTTCATTTCCATGGTCACCTTCAAACAAAAAAAAGAACCGTGTAAACTATTATTTTTAGTATAATTTTATATTTATTTTAATTTCTGCATGTAATAGCAAGGATGAAAGATTATTCACTAAAGTTTAGCTAATTAAATTTGAATGGCAAAATCTTACTGGGATGTTATTTTTATTTAAAGAGATAAAATAGCAAAGTATTTAGATGAAACACAGGAATAATAGCATAAATATTCTCACAGAATCAGAGATTTTTTTCAAACTTGGACAATTTTTGTGCTAAATTGTATAGTTTCCCTTAGTAAATAGACCTTGCTATATACTGATCAGCCACAACAATAAAACCATTGACAGGTGAAGTGAATAACATTGATTGTAGTGTTATAATTGCATCTGTCAAGTGGTGGGATATATTAGGCAGCAAGTGACAACAGCTTCTGTAGTTCAAATTGCTGAATAACAACCTGAATAACTAATTCTAGTCATGATAGAAAGGTGTCAGCACACAAGGAGCATCACCGTTTGCTGTGTCTGGGGCTGCATAGCTGCAGTCTGGTCAGAGTGCCCATGATGACCCCTGTTCATCACCAAAAGCACCTTACTATAGACAAAGGTGTCAGAATTGGACCATGGAGCAATGGAAGAAAAGCCAGTCTGATTAATCATGTTTTCTTTTATATCAGGTGGATGGCCTGATGCATGTGTGTCATGTCCCTTCTGAAATGATAGCATCAGGATGCGCCATGGGAAGAAGGCTGACTGGCAGAGGCAATGTTATGCTTTGAGGAAGTTCTGCTGGGAAACCTTGGGTCGTGTAAATGTTATTCGTGTAAAATGTTATTTTGACATGTACCACCTTCCTAGAGATTATTGTACACCACATACACCCCTTCAGGACAATGGTGTTCCTATATGGCAATTGCCTCTTTCAACAAGTTAATGTCCCCTGATCCACTGCAAAAAGTGTTTAGAAAAGGATAGCGGAACATGGCAAAGAGTACAAGGTGTTGCCTTGGACTCTAAATTCCCCAGATCGCAATCTGATTGAGCATCTGTAGAATGTGCTGGAACAACAAATCTAATCTAATCCTTGCAACAAGGACTTAAAGGACTGTTACTATAGGTTTAGTGACAATTATGAGAGGACACATTCAGAGGTCTTGTGGAATCTATTTCCTCAACACACCAGTGCTGTTTTTGCAGTACGAGGTGCAACTACACAATATTGAGCAGGAGATTTTAATGTTGTGACTATTTCCTATTTCCTTCCCATCATTATTGATACGGAGCATAGTTTAGAGATAGCACGTAAGAGGGTGAAAAAAGGAAAAATAACAGTATGTCGGTACTCTCACTCCATACTATTAAACTGAGAGAGGACCAACTGACAATCTCAGCCTATCACCGACCAACCTGCAAACATTTCACATACTGCGGTGGTTTGCAGAAAGGAATGAGGGGGCAATATTTTAGGACATCAGGTGGCAATGTTGGGATTAAACCACTGGAAAATGGTTTACTCCTGGATGTGGGATAATGCACAAGCACCCCTGCCACCCCTGCCTCCATGACACCTTCAATGACCTGACCCTATTATGAGAGTTGGAGAATTCTTTAATTTTTGGGGGGTTAGAGCTTGTTGAATTTAAGATTCCTTAATGTTTTACAGCCTACATAACTACATAACTATTTGAGCTAAACTACCCAGGACATACTTGAAAACAAGAGAAATCTCAATACATTCTTCCTGAAAAAATATTTTATAAATAAATAAATAAATAACAGGAAGTTACAGGAGAACAATGTTCACTTATATAAGAGTCAATTTCAATTTAAATTTAGCAAGCTGAAGTGCTTTTGGTGTCTGGAGAGTCCCTAAAAACTTTGAACCATTAAACATGGGTAGCATTTGATATATAATGTTTTACATGAGGGCACTTTGAGAGGGCTTATATCAGACAGACCCTGAAAAGGGTGATGTAGCAATTGCATCCTACCTTGCACTCCTTGTAGAGAAACGTATTGATATGGCCAGTAGACCTGATGCTTTGTCTGTGTTACGCTCCACCAGAGATAATCATAGAATTCAAAAAGGGTGTACTTTATTTTCCCCATGGCTATCTCTGCTGTGGACTCTACCTACAATAGTAAACAGAAATAAGAATAATAAATACAAAATAATAAAACAAAGTTTGATTCTGACATTTGTTTCAATGTCCATGTCATTTTCAAATAAATATCCTTGATGTCAATTTTATGAACTTACCATTTATTTAAAGGGATCCATTACACATGAAAACTTCAAGAATATTTCACTTTTAAAAATTTATTAATTTCTCAATTGCACATCAAAGCTGTATTTTTTTTTGTATTTATTTATTTTTCCATTGGAATCTCACAGATTTCATCAATACAGAACAGCTTTGTAACAATACCTGCAACATAGACTTTATACCCTCCATAAGCTAGGTATGATGTAATTTTGCTTTGGGACAAAGGGACTGGTATTGTACAGAGAGACAGGATGGACCCCTGTGTACATGAAGTGAAAGATACTATATTAATTTGCTACATAACTAATGACTGAATGAAACACTTTCTACCATTATGTGGTAGATTTATTGATAATATATTGTTTTATCCAATGCTCTACAGTTGTGCGCTTAAAAAAATAAGTTTGAGTACTTATTTTGAAAATACGTATCCCAAATTATCACAGTCACATCATATAAATACAAAAGCACGTAAAAAGAAAATATGAAATACACAATATAGTGCAGATGAGTTGTGATTATAACCATATAAAGTAGCATGAAATCAGTGGTAAAGCTAATGTAGTGAGGGCCCTGGAACAAGATTACTTTTTTGCTCCAATGTAGTCTTCCTCCAACGAGCCCTCCAACACCTTCATAATTTCGAGATAATTAATAATAATAAAGTGCAAGATCCTCTACCTTTAGCAGATTTTGATGTTGACATGGAGGTAGACATACAGATTTCCAATTAGAATATCTGTTGCATTCCCTCCCAGGTCTGTATGTTCTGCTTTCTTGAAATGACTGATCTCTAAACTCTCATTTTCAGTTACTTAAATTTTTCAGAATTGATGGACTGGAAAGCTGGTCTAGTAGATTTTATGTCTGCTTCAAGAGAACCTGTTTTTCCTCCAGTGCACTTTGAATATCAGAGAAAGTTGTCGAAAGAATGAGAGAGGTGACTGACGGAATGTTAGAGCTTGTTCCAGTAGGTGAAAGAGTTTGTCCCCTATTTTATAATTTAGATAATACATCTGATTATTCCACCTTTTCTTTCTGATAACACTCTGCCATATTCTGAATCGGATTCAAATGATATGGATCCCACTTGGGAATGTTTGGCATAGAACCTGCCTTCTTTTGGATCAACAGCAAAAAACAAATGTGAGGTAGGCTGAACTTGATGGACGCAAGTCTCTTTTCAGCTATGTAACTATGTAACTATGTAACCCATGCTTTTAGAAGTGCCATTCTGAACTAGCTTATGTAATTCAAGCTTTTAGTTCCTCCTGAGGTGATACAGAGACTTGCCTTCTGCAGCTTTTTGATTAGAGCCAATGCGATGATTGCTCTTCTCTTTACGTTTCCTATGAGATCTCTCTCAACTTGTAGTTGGGCTGTAGCGATATAAACAAAAGGCCATACATAATTTGTTTGGGCTCATAGGCACTGTTTTTGTGCTCATCAGGAATACTTATAATAGTTAGTGCACATTGGGTTTCTAGAAATGGAGTGTCTAGAGGCAGATGGGGAGGCCATACTTCAAAAGAGATGAGGAAGCATTAGATTGAAGAAAATGGATCAAAATAAAGATGAAAGAAGAAAATGTATTATGACCTAACCTAGCTGAACATTTTTAAATACATCCACTGACAAAATATAATCCAATTCCAACCGATATCTACTTAGAATATGATTATGAATTGCAATATAGCTAGTGAATAATTAGTGAACTGACTCCAGTCGAATTTAAATCTGAATACATGTTCATGCGAACCTGTAAGATGCCTACAAACATGCACAATAAAGAAGGCAATATGAATGGTGATCTAAGGGAATGGAAATCACAAATTTAAATTTAATATATATTATCAATTAATTGTCACGACAAGTGACCCAAACACGCAGACTATAATCCAAATTAGAATACGTATTACCGTACCTTAGAATGACCGGGTTTAACGTAGATAGAATAGTCGAGAAGTAGCCAGAGAGATCAGGATAACGATAAGGAATAGGCGAGTCAGGAAACCAGAAAGCAGAATAGTCGATATAACACAAGCCAAGTCAAATACCAAAATACACAGACAAAAATCCGTGTAGCACTAGAGGTAACAACCAGTGAGCCAGTGAACAATAGGGCACTGAACAAAAGCAAAAGGCGATTTCTTTATAATGAGAAGCCTGGTTGCTCGCCTATTGCCTTTGGATTATGGCCCCATGATAAAAGGCTTGATTGTCCCCTGCAAGGACATGAAAGCCGGGTCATTTGGTGCTTGCCCTGTTTGAGCGGTGATACCCCAGATAGCTATGCCATGGAGCCCATTCGTATAATGAAAGACTATGGGAAAGACTTTGGCTTCATGGCAATTGAACTGTATGTGTGTGTTCTGAGCGCCATTCAGTAATAATGTGCGCTCAGATCTGAGCTATCTGGGGATATGTTGAATGTACCTGTTTTGTGCAATGGCTGCACAGTTATATGTTTTTATGTGTTTTATTGTCTTTTGCTGCCATGTGTTCAATGGAGTTTTGCCTCTGTCTTTGGAGATAATTGGATTACTTCTCAATTATCTTCAGGATAGAAGACTCTGTGGAACTGGTTTTGGGCAGAAAAGCCATGCTTCCTTTGGTCACAAAGGACTACGATCTATCTTTTGAACCACTGGACCAATTTGTATGATTTTGACATATGTTTGTATTTGGAGTATGCTGATTCTGAAAATGTGAA